GATTACAAGTAGAAATCTAGGTTAGTAGACTTCTGAAGCACACATCCATTCTTCTTCGATCTCCCTATATATATTGTCCATTTGTCCTATCCCATAATAAACCCTTGTATTCTTCATTAAGACACTGACCATGGCTTCCTCTCCTCTTGACATCCTATCCATTTATAGTTCTACTTCTCATTCACTCCAACACTTAACTTTCCTTTTCCAGAGGGCATCATCATAAGAAGCAGCCTAAAGTGACATCTTTCTTCTTCGTAGGAGTCCTCTTTTCTTGCTCCTTTCTATGTAGAGTTGTTTCTCATTAAGCTCGATGAGATAAGAACTCTGTTAATAACTTTTACTCAACAGTTAACGGGGTCGCTACATTAGAAACCACTTTGCCTTCCCCTAGTATGTTGGATACTGTGTTTGTTTCTTCTGAGCATCTTCTGCCTCTTCCCATTAAGAGTCCCTGTCAATCTATTTGAATATACTTTTATTTTTTCCCTAGGTTATTGTACTTTCTTTTTCTATTTTACCCTTACTTTATTATTCAGTTCCCAAGAATGACTTAAGGCTCATAAGTTTCCTAGTCAATTAAATGGTCAAGACATGCTATCAATGGTGATCAATCTCATTTACACTAAGCATAGTAAGCAAAGGTGACCATAAAATGCTCTACACATGATCATATTAACACAACACTCCCTCTAATAAATGACCATGCATGTAAGGCCAACACCTAATATATTCAAACAAAAAAAAAAGATATTTCTTCAAATGCATAATGCGCTCTATGACTGATATATAAGATCCAACACACATTATTATTATGATCTAATCAAGAAAAGAGAGAAAAGGCATCAATTCACCTACACCTTTCACAAGTGTCCATCGCATGGTTAAAGGAGAAGTATCAATGGTGAATGTTGAGACATAAAGCTTGAAAAGTACTAAAAAAAAGTCATGCCTACAACATTATTAAAGAAAATTTAATATTTAATTAATTTATTTTACAAAAGTAAAGCATAATTAAAATAAATATATTAATATACCAATAAAAGTGTCATTTAACCTCTCATTTATCCAATTTGATGCATACTAACATCACTCAAATGCTCTCAAATGAATGCAAATATAATAGCCCCTCATGCAAACCAATTAACTATTGCTAAGTCGCGTAACTATTGCTAAGTTGCGAGATAACTTCAAGTAAACTATTGATACATAGGTTGCACTTTTATCAACAAATATAGTGTAACCTACCAAATGGAGTAGAAACGCTCATGTTGCGTACTTCAAATTGTCATCCTATTACTATATATAATAGACATTTTAGAGTTAATAAAAGTGTACATGTATCACATGTCATAGTCATTTCCATTTGTGTATTAGCACCAATATCGAGCAAGCAAGATAGACACATCAAAGTATGTGAAAAATTGAATTGCAATTGTTAGATGTTACAAAGATGACGTGTCATCCACTGTAATTGTCAACTCCATAAGGTAGGTAAATATTACTTGTATGTATATGCCATCTCTTAAGGCAAACAAGAGTCTTTTGTCCACTATCTGATAATTGTAATCTACTAAGGGTGTTAAAAAAAGTTTTTAACAATATTTTGCATGTACTTATGAGTTATTTTTAACTTATCAACTTTCTTATCATTAGTGACAACCTCTAGTTCACCACGATTTTGCAATGAATGCTTAAATATCACTTTACAAGAAAATAATAATAATAACCATGTTAAATAATATCATTGTTACCTCTTCATCCTATAATAACGAGCAATATGATATTTATAAGACCTCAATATAGATCTATCAATAGGCCTTCCTTTAAATTGCTTTATTATTGGCTCAAAAGGACTTGTAGGTAAAGATGGAAATAGGTCAAGTTATCTGACGATAGTCAACGATCTAATCTTTTTAAACTCTAATTCGACTTGACCTATTTAAGAAATAAGCTTAATTTATGCTTTGTAAAAGACTTAATTAAATAAATAGGTCAAACTTGAGCTTAAAAAAATTTATTAAGCATGATAAAATGACTTATATAGGAATCATTAAATTTATAATAATATATTAAATAATTTTGTATAAAAATTATAGTATTATATTAGATAAAATTTTATTATAAACTCTAATTCTTTTCGTTGGATTTGGAGAGTGCCCTTACTACATACCTTTTGAAAGAGAGTGTTGCTTGTTGGAGTCTTTTGCATTAATATCGCTTAATTTGTTTTGTACGCATAACTTTGATTTGTAGTTGTATTTGTTATATGTTTAATGATTTACTTATTTAAATCAAATATGTAGTTTAAAATTAATAAATAAGAATATATAATTTTATTACAAATATTCAAAGTGTTAAACTATTTTTTTATGACTTTTAAATGTAAGTCTTATAATTTTTATAGAAATATACTTTAAATGGTTTGACAGCCTATTTATAAAATGTTTAATAACTTATTAAAGGTTTCAATATGAAGTAAGTCATTAGAAAAACTAATAAATTGAATCAGACCTTTAAAAAGGTTAAGTTAAACTTGATAAAAAGTTTACGATAATTAATATATCAGACTCAAGTTTTAAATTTATTAAATAGATCATATCTATTTATGTAAAACCAACCTAGTCTAGTCTATATCTATCTCTATGTACAAGAACCTTTTCTTGTTCTACATCATGGTTTTATGCATCATGATTTTATTCTTTATGTATAAAAATTGTAAGATGTGTGTATCCTCTTCATATTCTAGTCATACCTACAATAAAAATAAAATTTTGAATCCTTTTAAGTATACAAATCTTCTTATCTAAGAAAACAATTGCAATAGAACAAAGACATTTTTTCATCAAACTAATAAATTGATTCTAATATACCCTTAAATAAAGTCTACAAATACACATCATTATTTCAATGCTCTTGCATTTCATACTTTAAAGTGAAAGAAAATAAAATTTGACAACCACCTTAACTTTAAACTTGTAATATTAATATGACTAAAAATCTTTAGTTTCTATAACATAAAATATTCTTATTCATAGCTATAGGCTGTTGCCATCCTCTTCTTACAATTTTAATTGCTAACCTTCTAGAAGTTAGTTTCGAAAGAAATTATTGAAAACTTAATTTTGGAATTACTGTTCATACGCTTCTGAAATTTATCTTCAGGAAGTCAAGAATTTTCGAAACTAATTATTATGGGAAACATAATTTAACCCACTTTCACAAATTATTTTTTGAAATAATGGAAACATAATTTAATTTATTTTTAGAAATTAATATCTAAAAGTTATGGATTACAAGCCTTTGAAACTTATTTTTCAGAACCATAATTTAACTTGTTTCTTGAAATTAATTATCAAAAACGCTATTTTTAAATTTTAATTTTTGAAATATTCTTATATCAATTTCCGAACTTAAATTCTGTAAGTCTTCGATGGTGAGATTCTTTAACTTTTTGTTGCCATTTTTTTCTGGTGACATATAGGGAAATATTATATCAACTCAATAAATAACTTACTTGGATAAATAATGTGCTGAAGGATCTCACAAAAACGTTGGTGGAACAACGAGGAGATATAATCCTTGGAAGAAAAAGAGTATGAGAAACTGGAGGAGAAGGTTGAAATTGAGAATGAAGAAGAATGTTGGAATAGGAACAAACAAAAGATTGAGTTTTAAAACTAATGAGAATATTTTTTTATTTTAAAATTAAGAAAAATTGACGTACATAGAAGTGAAAATAAGAAAAATAAATGGGTGTAAAAATAGTCATTTGGAGTAGTTAATTGAGATTTAAAAAGAAAAAACTTGTAGAAGCATTTAAATTGATTTCTTAGGATATTTTTTTTAACTTTAATCAATTTTGATATTATAAATAAAAGTTTACTATTTGAGAAGGAAAACATTAAAGAAATTATTCTCTATCACAATTCGTATGTATATATTAAAATTTATTAAAAATGACGTGCCAGTTACACTCTTGTGTTGTGATCAACTTCTTTTTATCAACATTTTTGTTAATTTTATTTTAAATTTTAGAGATCAAAATTATTACTTAAATTATATATATTTATTATGAAATAAAATATATTTATATTGTCTGGTTTACTGAACTAGTTCTTTAATGTGACTATTATTATTTACTATAATATTGAGCAAAGTGGCAACCTTAGTTTATATACAACGATATAACTCCAGTCAAAATCCCAATCCTATATTATTTTTGCACCATCCTTTGGTATGGGTTCTAGATAAATTCTACTTCTCTAACGTTTGAATTAAACACAGGAAATACTGTCAAAGTACAACTTCACTACGTAGCTGTTAACCAAATACAACTAGTTATGTTTTGTCCAAGTATTCCTCATTTATGTAAACATAAGTCTTCTACCAAGCCAAAAATAAAAAGATAGATGGAAATGGATCCTCTCAGTAATATTTTAATTTCATTAAATAATGTATTTTAATACATTTCAAGATTTAAAATTGCTTTCCTCCCGTAAAAGTTAAACTTGAGAGGATCTAAAATCAAAGATAAACTCACCAATCCTATGAAACTTTTAAAGATAAAAATCTGAATTCAATTAACTTCAAGTTAACTTGAGTATTATTTTGTGATATATATATATATCATACATAAATTCTTATCATGATGATTAAACACATTAATTAAAAGAACTGATTAAAAGAACATTTCAAAATCTATGCTCAAATCATAGGAGACGCTATACCACGAATTTGCAAATTATAAGAAACTACAAACCGATTAACGATGAACACTAGCGAAGTACAAAGCAAGCAACTTATGAGGCGCACAAAGATACATGATGGACGTACGTATATTTCATAACATAAACGAGTACTCTCTCGATTGCTATATACGTCCTTCGTTTCATAACCTCACGGGTGGGAAATTCCACATATATAAATTAATACATACATTACTATCAATATTATTATTAGTAGAGTAGAGTAGAGTAGTACACTACTACAGGCTGGACTTAAAAGGGAAGGTGGGCGCTGCCGGCGGAGACGGAGCTTGAAGCGGCGGCGCTGTTCCTCTCGGCATGGCAAAGTTGACGGAGCTTTGTTGGAACGTACCAAATGGAAAGACGAGGATGAGCATTGAAAATGGCATCAATGTCCCAACCTTGACGCGCTGCGATGGCAACGAGGGGTTTGTAACACGCTTGCCTCCACGCTCCCACGTTCTCCCCTCTCTCCTTGAACGCTCTTCTCAGCTCGTTCGATACCTCTTCGTCAAGACAATGCAATGCGTAACAGTGCACGTAGTGTCGCATCTTCGGCTTGTTGATGTAGCTAGCTCCAGCCTTCTTCGCGTACCTAAATACCTGATTTGTCACCTGCGCTCGTACATTCTCGTTGGTACATGCGTATGTATTCGTACGAAATTTACCAATAACCACAAAAAAATAAAACAATATTGGACACTATTCTTTAATTAAAATTAGCTAAGTATTCTATTTCATCTCAAGAGTTAACTTTCAATGGGATCATTAAATTATTTCTATAACTTGAATTAGCACCATAGTTAATTAGTATTTGATACTACATATTTTAGCTATGTTGTGTTCAAGAGCATTGCTTGGTTAAATATTTTTTATTTAATAATTTTTAAATGAGATTTTTTAATAAAATTGATCACAGTTTTCAAAATAAGCAATTAAAATTGCTTATTTCATAATAAGCTACAAGAGAAGTTCATTGAAATAAAAATTATAAAAAAAGTAATTTTTTCAAGTTTATTCTTGTTTGAAAAGAGTGGCATGCATTAAAATAAAAAGCTTCCCCCCCCCCCCTCTCTTCAAGTACAAACGTGCATCTAAAGTTTTGTCCCAATACATGAAACGACAAAAAATATATTCAAAATTACAATATTTCATAAAAATGTTTTACTTTTAACTTTTTGAATAGATAAATTAAGATTAGGATATCTGGCTCTGGTAACATTTTCCATAATAATAATAGGATAAGAGTTAAGAAATTAACAAGATATTAAAAAGCCATTAAAGCATATTATAAGTCATGCAAAAAGCATATTAATAATAATAATAATAATAATAATGAGCGTACCCCACATGGACGTACATGAAAAATTAACAGAATGAGAGTAAATAGATACGCGTCGATTGGGATTGTTATGAAGACATGGGAGGATCCAGTGGGTGTAAAGAGCAATGGGGGACATGCATGACTTTGACTTGTGGGTGGGTGTGGTAGGATAGGAGACAGGACTTTTAACTGGACAATTCACAACACCGTACGGACACAAAATTCCAGTTTTAAAGGAAACTGGACCCCCTCACGAGACTCCCTGACTTGTCACGTGTTCCGTGGAACGTGTTGCGAGAACAACATCACGGCAACACACCCTACTCATATTATTCAAACGCTTCATGAAGCAACTTCACATACAACAACAACACCACCACCACCAACAGAAACAGAACTCAGTGGCAGAGTCAGAGCCATCAGAACAAAGGCATCACCCGGGAGAAGAAAAACAGAACACAACAGAAATGAACGAAGCATGAGGGAAGGAAGGGAGAGTTAGGTTAGGGTATGCCAATGCATCACCATCAATCATCATCATACCTTGGTGGGGCATTTTTCACCGCGGTCCTTCGCGATAGCCTGAACCTGAATCAAGAACTCACGGCACTGCTCGTAAAGATGAAACAGATAATCCAAACCGTTCTTTTTCCCACGTGCAACCTCCCCTGGCTCCGTCACGATGAATGGGTGCTCCCTTTGCCTCTCACACCCACCACTGTTGTTGTTCCCTTCATCGTTCTCTTCTCCTTCCTCATCTTCAAGCTCCTCATTCTCGTCGTGATGAACACTCCCCTTCATCCTCGTCCTCCGCCTCCTCTGCTGCTGCTTCCTCCTCTCCTCCGCCGCGACAACCTCCCACGTGCTCCCTCCCCCGCTCCCCACCGCCTCCTTCTCTCGTTGCACCACTGGCTCCTCCGATAAACCTACATATTCATACATACATCTTATCATACATAAATATAACATTTCTTTACTCACCAACTCCATCGTACTTTATGTAACAAATTGTTAGTACCTGCTGACTTTATGTTATAACTTGTAAGAACAGTAGTTTAATATAACAGTGATATAAATTAGTCGAACTTCTTATACTATTCCATTATAATTTGATATTGATAATACAAAAGATGAGTATAAGTGTGTCGTGTGCGCACCTTCTTGAGAGAGAGCGTCGAGGGCGTTGGTGGTGGTGTCGTTTGAGAGAAGGTTGTTGTTACGGCGCTTGATGTCGTCTTCTTCGACGCGACGTCGTTCGGCTCTAACGGCGGCTTTGATGCCGTAACGTTCTCCGACGAGGAGGTCCCAGCGGAAAATTTGGGAGAGGCTGTTCATCATGTCGTCGAGTTCCTCGTCCTTCATGTCCACCAGCGTGCTCACCGTGAAGCCGAGCTCGGCGATCTTCGCCGCCGTGTAGTACCTTATGCCGTAGGCTTGGAAAAGCTCTTCCAACCCTCCTAGTTCCCGCGGCGCCCTCACCGGGTGGTACGCCGCGGCCGCCGGGGAAACTGGCGGAGCCACCGTGTAGTCGAGGAGAGGAGGGCGCGTGGGGGCCGTGGTGGGAAGGACGGTGCGTGGGTCCCACTTGAATAGGCTAGCGGTGAATGCGTCGGGGTCCATGGTTTGGAAAGTGAGGGAGTGCGAGGGGTGTGGTACTGTTTGTGGGAGATAAAGGAGAAGGCGAAAAGGTGGCGAGAGAGAGAGAGAGAGTGTGTGCGTTTGGATTTCCGAAATTGCCCTTTCGTGTAATTCTGATTTGTTTTTCCCGAGACTGGTTGAGGGGGGTTTTGGTCTCTTCTGTGTTTGTGAGATCTTCTTTGAAACTCTTATGGATTGGTTCCATTTGGTTAATTTGAAACTGGATTGCCCCAAATCAAACCGAACTAACTAACTATCCCACCTCTGATTTGACTGTTATGTTTTTGTGTTTGTTGATTGTTTGCTCATATTTGTGTTGATGTATACTTGTTAGGGTGTTCGTCACAGGCTTACGGTTTACTTAAACAGCTGAAAGAGGGGCCATTTTGGGTTAGCTTTGTGATTATGATATCCTGATTTGAATATTTTATTAAGCTTGATTTTGACTGTGGAGCATAGCCGCAAAGACAAAGCCATACATCAAAATTCGGACAACCAATCCTCGTCCTAAACTTATCATTTTGCTCTATTAATTTTTTTTCACTTCATTTCCATTCACTTTCTCTGGTTAGAGTAGTTTTTCTGAACTTGGCGGGAGTGTTATTTATGATTATCAACCTTATACAAGTTATAAAATGCTAATAAATGCCTTTAGTATATTAACTATGTGATTTAAAATAAAATTTTGTTAACTTTTAGTTTAAGCATTTATAAATAGAAAATATTTATAAAAATAATATATAGTTATTATTTTAAAATTATAAAAATATAACAAATATTTTTTTAATCAAATTTTACTATTATTAACTACTTATTATTAATTAAGAATTGAATTTAATAAAATCTTTTAAAATATATTTTATATAAATTATTAAAATACAACTTTATATACACGTTAAAAAAGTTATAATTTTTAACGTATGCTTTTATCGTAAATTTTAATTAAAAAATGATTAATTTCTTGATCAGTAAGTAATCAGCGTGTTGAAATACTCGCCAGCAAGATGCATGGAAATTTAATGCGTAAAATATTCGGGGATTTGTCTTGGGAAGGCGTTTACTTTGTCCATGTCCCAATCCCACAGGAATTTATTGATCCTAGAGACTCTAATTCTTTCACGTTGTCCGTAATCAAATTTATCTGCTAGACATTCCCGTGAAATGGTTCTGAAGACTTTCCAGTGCAACAGATTTTCTTTTCAGGTCACTTTCATCCTGAAAGAGAACCCCAAAAGATAACTTTTAACTCATCTCCTAATCCATAAAATTTCACTTTACTTTCTCATCCATAACTAGCCAGCTTCATCTGTTAAATAAACAATGAGCGATATAATAATTTTATATGAAAACCAAACAATATTTTAAAAACAATACATCAAAATTTAAATCCATCATAATATGATTATTGAGAATACTTTTAGTGGAGATGCTGCATTGATCAGTAGGATAGTTTTTTTTTTAAAAATGCATTAATTTCAAACAGTTTATAAGTTAAATTTTCTAAACACTTTAATTAAAATCAGTACTAGATTTGGCTTAATTATCATCTCCACCCTGTATAATTCTTGTGTGACCTTTGTGATTAGAGTAATGTCTTTGTTAATTAAAGTCTAACAAAATTAGGATTTTTCAAACTTCGATGGATTGGTGGAGTCAAAAAAGATTTATCTTGAAAATTATGACATGTCTTAAATTTGAATTCTTACTTATTTGTATAGAGCGTGGTAAATGAAAAAAAATTTACAAGTGTTCTTTTAGTCTATAAAATAAATTTTTCGCTGTTAAACTAGTACATTTCTTTATCTTTGTTTTTCTTGTGCCAAAAATTATTAGGATTCTTTACAATTGCATCATTTGCATACGTTGAATGCAACTACAGGTGATCCTGATCCTTTGGGAGAGGTTTAATTGAATGGTGATGGAAAATTATTTTTATTATATTTTTTGTACATTACTTCCAATTTTAAGTAATAAAATAAAACATCTCTTAATACAATATTTTGTATGTATTAAAGATGTCTCCTTAATAACAACTAGGTATCAATCTCTTTAAAAATATAAAGATAATTAAAGTAGATTTGTCTTGCTCAGTAAAATTATGTTTTCATATTCAAGGTTAAGAATCAAATCTTCAAGAGAAGGGGAAAATTATAGCAAAAATTGTATAAAAAAAATATATTTCTTGCATGCCAATGATTTTGGCAGGAAAATACGCCGAAAGAATTGGTTGATATGTTATAGATATAGCGTAGGACGGCAGCTTAATATCGAAGTCCGTAAGGCCCAGTACGGTGAAAGGCTTATGGTGGCCAACCACTAACTTTCCGTTGTAGCCTAAGCGACAACCCTATTATTATTGTTCAGGTGTGTTTAAAAATATTATAAACTTATAGAAATAGTTTTAAATTTTTTTTATAACTTTTTAAATTTATTTTATTAAAATTTTATATAATTTATCAAATTATTTTTTAATTTATTCATGGTATAAATTATTTATATACCAAAATTTCTTGAATAAGTATATAATAAAGTTGCTATTTAAATACACTTATTATAAATATTTTCTGAGAACTCCTTTAGTAAACAGGATAATATAATAAAAAACGTGAAATTTTAATAAAAACATAATAAAATAGAAGTATAGTAAATTCTTGCCCTACTTTACATGTATTAAAGTAATAAAAGTAATTAATTGTTTTCTATCATATTCATTTATAACTCAGAATTCTACAGCATAAAACTTTTGTTAGAAAGGATAATAGAATAAACCTATCAAATAATTTTTATCATTTTGACTAAATAATTACTGAAAAGAAGATAAGATAAAAAGACTTACACTGTATATATTCTCTTATCATGTGTCCACCAGACAAATTATCAAAGCTGATAAATTATTCAACCAAAAAGAAAAACTAATAATTAATTTCTGTGGAAATGTATGATTGCTTTTATGTAAATCTTACTTAAGAAAACTAATCCTAAGTGTCTATATTATCTATTTTTCAACGTATAAAAGTGATTTATTTTTTTCTTTTTGCATTGATCTATGCATCTACTTTAAACTCAATTCCTATTAAAAATCAAACATGTATCGACCACTAACTTGAATATCGGTGATATGGAGAGCTTAGTGCTCTCTTCCCTATGGAAGCAAGAGACGCTTGGGAAAGCGATCTTGAAAAGGAAATCCAAAATAGTGTTCAAATTTAGAATTTACACATCATTTGATCTAATATTTCGTCTCTTTAGGCAAACGAAATATTAAAAGATGAATATAATTTTAAATGCATCAAACAAATTTTGAGATTAAACAAGGTAACTTTATGAAAATAAATAATCTTAAATTATTTTAAGCTAAATTATTTCATAGTTATAATTGCGTTAGATTTAAATAATAAAAAAATTTTAAGTTAGACTGAGAATTTATTTTAAATAAAATGTTTAAATATAAATATAAATTCTTAAATGAAATCAATCTTATTAAATTAAAAGTATTTAAAATAAAACCTACAAATCCTTACTCAAACACAGTTAAAAAACACCGAACAGAGACAATCTTGCGTATGGACCACAGAGAAAATCAAACAGTAAGATTAAGATTTGTTCAATTATATGGAAAATCTTGTAAATGCATCAGGGAATCTACGGGTGTTCCCATGTGCTATACCAGTGAATGCAGTTTTCTTTTATTACAGTTTTGATATCTCTCTCTTTTTTTATAGCTCAATTGTATGCATCTACTTTGACGTCAAATGATAATTTATCTTACGAATACTATGCCTGAATAATGAATATTGAATAAATAATTATTCAAATACGCTTTTTATAAATAAATAAAGAAATAAGCGAACGTATTGCTGTTCATAGAGTAAATGAAAATAAAGAATAATTTTGAAAAAAACTAAATTAAGAAAGAGCGACGAAATAAAAAAAATGAAAAGTTAAAAACCTTATTTAATCCTAATAAAAGGGTCTTAATCTGAGGAAAAGATAGAGTTGTTTGAATTTCTTGAAAAAGTAAATTAGGTGCAGATGGAGCGAGCAAGGCAAGGAACTGAACTCCACAGAAAAGGTGGGTTGCATAGATAGCATTGATGAATGATTCGGTTACTGTTACGGCGTTACAGAATCAGAGAAAATCTCACTGAGGCTTTTGCAAAGCAGGAGACTGATTAAGGAAACAGACAACAAAGGACGTCAATACAGTGAAATCATTAATGAGAAGTGAAGAAGCAAGATTTAAGTTGGAGCTGATGGCATTTAATTAAAAATTTCATAAATATTTTATATTGGAAATTAAGACATAATTATATTTTTAATAAAAAAAGTAAAATTTATAATATTTTGAATAGAGTAGTTAAATTTAAGCAATGTGAAACAGTGATGCAGGAAAGTACAGGAAGGGTCAGGTTGTTACAGATGGCCTAAAGCTGTGTAAAGTAAAAAAAAAGGCTGATATGTGTACTTGTAGAGAGCACTAGTTGCCACTACAATTCCAACACACGGTAACAGCACACAGCTACCATAGATGTTAATATTAATTAATGGAGGGTGAGGTCTCATAGTGTCACTCATCTCATCAGTCACCACAGCCTTACAGTCATTGCAGAATCCCCAAAGTTTCAAAACTAAATTATTTAATCAATCTTTCTATTACTTTTATTATTATTATTATTAAATTGCTTTCGGAATTAAGTAAAATTGTGTTCATATCTCTCGTGTGTACGATTGTTGATATTTTAGTCTATCTATCGCTCGTTAGTGCTATCAGACAAAATCATTGGCTTGTTATGTGTCACTTAAATATGACATGTAATGTTTGATAATCACATGATAATATGATGCGTCAAAATTAATATTTTTTAAAATTTCTTTAAAAAATCTAAAATCTAAGAATATTTTAAATTGATTTCTAAAGAAATTTTAATTAATCAAATTTCATAAAAATTATAATCAATCAAATTAATTCTTAAATAAAATATTATCAATTAAATTTATGTTAAAAGATTTTTTAATCAATTAATGTAGTTTCTTAACTGTGAATACAAGTGTTTTTTTTTTTTTTACTTTTACGACTACTGCTATATTATTATTATTATTATTATTATTATTATGTCTGAATCATAATTTTAAGTGATAACAATAAAATTAGGACAAGGAAGAAATAATGAGATGATGGTTTGGACGTTAAAATTTAATGTTTATGAATGAATGAACAAATATGAAAATATACTCACAATTTATAAAAAATGTACTTCACAAAAATGATTACGATTGAAATTTTTTCTATTCTCCTCTCTTTCTGTATAGAAAGTTATATTATCTATTTCATACTTAATTAATGAAAGACTAAGTTCACTGAATTAAAATCAACTCTAATATCTTTATTGGAGACTCTATAAAATTAATCAAAATTTTCTTAATTTCTTAAGCAAATTAGATTAAAACATATATTATAGTTTAAGAACTCAAAAAGTTTTTATAATCATTGAAGTAAAATCTTAACTTTACAACAATTACCCAATTTGGACTTAAAAACTAAATTATCAATTGTAAAATTAAATCTTATATCTACTTTAATTGGCTAACCACAAAAATATTAAACTCAAAATAATTCAATCAAATTGTAAGAGAAGTATATGAAAATGAAATTTTATTAATAATATAAGAGAGATAAACAAAAATTTATCCTATCATAATCAAAAGAAATTAGTCACATATTTATAGAAAATGAAACAAAAATTAAAAAAAATATTGAATAAAATTTCATAGACAATTTGCAAAGACACAAAAAAATCTTTAAAACATTTAAGAATAAAGTAAAGTGAAGAAAAAAAATTAAAATAAATTTCTAAACTCTAAATAAAAAAAAAATTTAAGCTAAAATGTGACTCTATATAAAAAATGTGACATCTATTTATAGATTTTTGAGTTACTTTGAGGGTTAACAGTTAGAATAGAGATTTAAATACTAGAAGCAAACTCAACATTTGTAATATGTTAGCTAACATTGAGAGTTCATTGGTTCTTCTCTAGTGAATGATTATTGAAATGCTCACTTTGAGCATTGGGATGCTAACTTTATTTTTTTTTAACTTTTTGAATTTTGTGCCTTGGTCCTATAAATAATAAAAAATATAAATTATATTAAATCTCCTATAAATTTGATTGAAAGTCATAAATATTTAATAACTCAAATAAAAATAATAATATAGATTATTTTATAATTTATATAATAATTTAAGTGATATTTAATAAATTAGTCTTTAAAAGGTAGTAAAATAAGATCAAATGTTATCTTAATTATGATTTCATCACTTAAAGTCATTTATAGCATAAGATAGGCACTAAAAACTTAGTTTGAGAAGCTTAGATTAAAATTGTTCCAATTTAGCTTTATTCTAGCAAAGTGTGACTCCTTTCTCTTTCATTATATAACCTCTCAAAAATCATCTTTTTAAGTATATATTGATAACATAATTGTCACTAGTGACTTTCTTCAAACCTTATCCTCCCTTATACAAGAACTAAATGTTGTTGTTTTTTGTTTCAAAGACCTTGATGACCTTCACTATTTTTTAATAATTGAAGTTAGAAAAATAAACAATGGTTTGATCATTTTCTATCTTACGAGGAGTCAAAGTTTTATCCCTTCTCTAATCCTTCTTGTATAGATAAAATGTTGGTGCCTTATAATATGCTACATTTGCTAGACATGTGATAACCTATTGTACTAAGTCTATTTGTTATGCACAATCCTCTAAACATATTGGAAAGTTGAAGAAAGCATTCTAGATACCTCTAAGGCACCAAAACTCATGGCATGTTACTCAATTTTAGCTTGAATCTTAGTTTAACTTTTTACCTTAGAGATTTGATCTTAATGACTAAAAATTCACATTAGAAATGTATGTTTTTCTAGCTGCTAATAAGCAATCAATTAGTCTCTAAGTCTAACATAAAAATAGAACATATGATTATTTCTTTGACAATTATTGAGTTAATATGACTTAAGTCAATATTGTCTTATCATGTATAATATTAATTTTTGCGTCAAATTAACTGTTGTGTTGCTTATTTCTATCTCAATTTTCACTTTAAAACAAAGCACTTTGAGTTAGGTTTTCGTTTTGTAAGGCTTTATTTGATATTTTGAAGGGGGAGGAAGGAAAAGATTTGAAGGGAGAATGAGGAGAGGGGAAGAGAAGGAGAAGGAAGTTAAATTCTTCTATTATTTGAATGTTTAATATCGAAAGAGGGAGATAATGGAAATTTTATTATATAAATGATATTATTATATTTTATATATTTTATTTGTTTATTTTTTAAAAAAATATTTTTCTTTCTCAAAAAATTAATAATTTTAAAATTAAAATTATTATTTTTTATAAATTTTAAAAAATTCTCACTTAAAAAACTAACATTTAATAATAAAAAAAATTAAATCCTAATCGTGAAAAAATACGAAAGAGTGAAAGAGAAACCCTTAGAAAACTCCTAGATTAAGAAAACTAAAAAACCTACCCTTAAAAAATTGAGAAAACTCAAAAAAATAGCTTTAAAAAGATTTTAAAAGATTTATAAAAACACCAAAACCTTTTCCCTCCTAATTAATTTATTCCTAAACAAGGGAGTACCCCTTTCCTTCTCTTCCCCTCCCTTCCTAAACACAACTCCCAAACATATATAACTAAGGAAAAAGATTATTTAATCTATTGTTTTTGTTTATCATGTTCCTATCATTACACAAATTGCTTACATTTTCACTAAAACAATCATATTTTCTTTTTCTTTTTTTATTAGTTCTTAAGTGAAGTCAATTTTCAATCAAATCTTCACCTAAGTTTGAAGAGGGGTATAAAAAAAGACTATAACAGTAACAAACTTAGAGATAATTTTTCTTTACAATTGTAATTAGTTCATTTTCTGTTTTAGTAGTTGCTACTTTTCCCTTATAATTTGTCTATGTATATTTTATTCTGTCCTAAAAAAATGTGAATTCAATATCTTGTTTTCTTTCTTCTTTATTGCGCACTCTTTCTCTTTTATAAATCTTTTATAAAATCTCTTATTCATCTCTAGTCTTTCTAGACTAGATACCTTACGATCACAATTTTAAAAAAATAATAATGTGACTGCGGCACCTTAAACATGATCCAACCCCTGCAGCCAATGAAGTCAATTATAGCTGCGAAAAGACTAAACTTCTGAAATAAATTCTTTGAAGCTTAATATTATCAATATCATAGACTAAAGTCATTGATAATATACTGTAACACGAAAACAATTTGAAGCATTTGATCCAATGTTGTTTTCAATGTTAGTCCTTTATTGATTTCTCATCAATACTTTTGCTTTCTATCTAAATTTTTTAGTGATAATAAAATTAAAGATTTTTCTATGTCTAAAGGAGTAAAAAAAAAATAAAAATAGAAAAGCGAGAATTTAAGAAAGGAGTAAAGGTAATATAGTGCAAATTTACTTGTCTCTCAAATGGCGAAAATTCTTTACCTCATTCATACCACGGGAGTGACCCAAAATTATAGGATAGAACTTGTAATAATCTATTATTAGTGAATAAATTCTTCATTATGCCCTATAGACTGCAGATTGTTGTTATCTTAGAAATGTATTGTGTGTACAGATTGTGTGTACAGCAAACGAGATTCCTAATTATTAGATATGAATTTTGTCATTAACAATGTTATGCATTAAGCAATGCATAATCAACATTAATTGAATCTGGTAAGATAACTTGGCAAATTATTGAACTGCATTCTGTATTTAACACCAAGTACAAAGATGAAATTGTTTAAAGAATAATAAATTAGAAAGCAAACATAGAAGAAAACTGTAAAAAATTTGAGTAAACTCTCTTATCATTCCTTGAGTTTCTATAAATCCTCCTCCCTCTCTTTGAATTCTCCGTCTCCCTCATCCGCGCTCTCTCTAACTGCTAAATTAAATCCTCCATTAGCCTTCTTTGAGTTTATGATGTGTAATTTTACGTGTGAAGTTTGTGAAGTAATGGTGAAATGCGACTTTGAAGATATGATGTGAGATGAAGTGATTATCGACCTCAATTATTGAGATAAGATGGGGACTTTCTCTTGACCCTTAAGTTCCAAAGCTTCCCACGGTAGAACTTTGACGAATGGTAGAAGGGAGGGGTTCTAGCTAGCGGAGAGAGGAGGAAGAACACTGTACTGTCAATTATTAAAAATTGAATGATAAGGAATGCACAAAATTTGTTTGATTAAAATAATTAAAGAACCAAAATTGCGTGATTAAAATTCTAAAGACTAAACTTAAACAAATATTAAAGTTGGAAGAATCAAAGGTGCAACTAAATTTTTTTTTTACTGTCATGTTATTTTATCCTAAAAGGGAGTAAAGTAAATCATGTTATGCAAAGTAAAGATTAATTAAAATCTCACAAACTAAAATATCCAACTCATACAATTTCAAAAATTAATTTGAGTTTAGTTAAAAATATAAAAAATATTATATTCGTCTCCTTATTTATTTATTTTTGGGAATGTGATTTTTAATCAGCTATGTTGGATAGGGACTAATGGCATTTGGCCTCCATATATGTCTGGGAGTTGAGTCTCGTCTATCTCTTCCAGCAATGTTGATGTCAGTTTTTTGTTCTCCGCGAACACTATCTGCACGACAATGCAAGATTCAAAACATGCTCCTAGAATATCTTATACGCATGTAGTATGCATCAAATATAAATTTGAAGTACCTTTTTCTTGGTATTGTCGTCAATGAAAGGGTAAATAATTTTCCAAACTTTCATAAACAGGTAAGGTGCATGGACAATAAACAGCTTCCCCAATCTTTCTGGGTAGCAATCCTGTATGCAAAAGAGCGTAATCACAAACAAAGTCTGGATGTTTCAAGTTTTCAATTAAAAAAATGACATACTTTTCTAAATACAATCTTTAACAAGTTTTAACAAGACTCAAAGTAATTAAAACAAAACAATTTATTAAATGAATGCTTAAACTTTTAAAAAAGAGATAATCATAAACAAAAACCATGATCAAGAGTGTATTACTAATATTTCTAAAGAAACAAGTGCACAAGAGGTATACCTGCAAAATGGAAAGAGCGTTAAGGTATCCACGGATGTCACTGTTTGCGTATCCCCATCCTTTAATGTCTGCAATCGCAAGAAACTTTTCTTGCCCCTCTGGCATCCTGACACGTTAGATGAGTTTGTCACAGTCTTTTAACTGAATTCCCAGTTCTAAGTGTAGGCTATGCATCATATTTTCTTTTTCAAAGTGAATTATCTTTAGTTTAGTCTCTAAAATCGTCATCACCGATCAATTTGGTGATAATATCACAAAAACACAAACTTAATCTCTAACTTGTTATAAATTATCAATGAATTTTGATTCTTAATATAATTAGATCAGTCTAATTAGCTCATAATTAAATTTGATAACCATTAGTCAATCTAATTCAGAATGTTTGTAGCCAATTGTTAAAGTTAAGAACTTTTTTTCAATTACTAAATTATCGATAGTGTCAAATTGAAATTATACTATTCAATTTAGGATCTTGAACTTACAAGAGTCTGAAAATAGCTTATAGCCTTCCTAAATTCTTTTCTGTTTATTCTAAGAAGTTTTATGACTAAATTTATAAGTCTTTGTATTGAAAAGAATATATTAAACAGTGTTTAATTAAGCTGTGTGTATAAACGCTGCACATGTGGGCACGAATTAATACGGGAAAAGGGATTTACCTTGAACACAGTTTATCAAGAGCATACACTACATACCCTGTATACAGAAAGTACTTGTCGTTAAGTAACTTGTTTGTGAATTGTGAGTTGAAATGACCACATATTATTTCGAATAACCATAAAGGGGCTTAAAATGAGAGACAAAAGGAATTGAATTGAAAATTGTAAAAGGATCTGAAGTGAGAAACATACTTTTGAATCCATCCACACTATTCTTGTTTTGAAAATGTTTTGCAGCAAAGGCAACTGTTATGGGTCGACCCTTCTTGTCGACCCCTTGCACGTACATCTTTTCCTGTGCAATTTCATCAGCAATCTCTGACGGTGATACATGGCCATTTGGAACAAATGTACGTTTCCATTTCAAGTACTTGAGGAACATTGCCGAACCCTTCTCTACATCTAAATCACGAGCTCGCAAGAACCTTCTAATCATCAAATCATCAAATTCCTGCCCCACAGGCCTCAATCAAATCAAATTCCAACTACTCACTGCCTAATCAGTAATGTGCTGAACAAACAAACATCTTGGGCATCATAAATTTTGCATTTTAATAATCAAAACAGTTTTAGCACAAAAAAGGGATCAAAATTTGCTTTTGGGTATTCCATTATCAAAAAGGTCACAATAGTTATCCATATGTTGAGATCATGTTTCTTAATCATGGTAAAAAATAAAAATTCGACAGACAAGGAATAGGAATGAGTGTTATGGTGTGGGGTGGGACATGGACATGTGCGAAAGTGAGACCAGATCCAAACGGATATGCAAAGTTGGGTACCCGTTGACACAAAAATCCAGCACTTACAGAGAAAGAAAAAGGGAACGAAGCTATGACACAAACATAAGAAAACAAAAAGTGGCAAGCTTAGGTAGTTTGTGGGATTGTGTGGGTGTGTACCTTAGAAGAGGGATCTCGACTTTCGACAAAGGCTCTCATGAGAGCAATTTTGGTGAGTTCGGCTTCAGTGCTATCTTTCAATGCACCGTCATGTTGAGATTTTGCTTCTTCTTTAGCTGTGACTTGTTCCTCCATTCTCTTCTTGAATCCCTGCCTCTACAGCACCTTTCCTTTGCTCACCGCTGAATACTAACAATGACAAGCAAAGGGCATTTTCTTTTTCCCATATTAAATGCTCAAACGGTTCTGGTGACTTTGGTGGTTAGAATTTGACACGAGTTCTGCCAATGTTCAACTACTCAATGTAGTTTGGCTGTACTCTTTATCTAAGTGGCCTACTTCTTTAAAATCGGCAATGTAAATAATGGTGACATTAAATTAATATAAATATTAATTATATTAAAAAATAAAATAAAAACGATATATTAAATTAATTATATAAAATGTTTTATTGCATTTATATATTGTATTGTATTATAGTCTATTGGTTTATCTCTGTAGTCAAATTTTAAGTGTATCTATATCAGTTTTGACAGAATTGATTATAGTTTATAAAATTTGTATGAGTACTTTTTGCGGTGGAAAAAATATTATAGCTGATACAATTAATTTTAGGAGAAGCAACTAATATAGCTTCTCCCCATGGACACAAGTTATACTAGTATAGCTTAAAATTGCATGAGTACTGATATCAAGGATAACCAGTCTAATTACTCCTTGTTAATATGCAAAGTTAATCTTCAAAGCAATGCTAAATTAGTGAAATCCTTGGCCTTGATTACATGACGTCGCTGGCTCTTGAGCCATTCATTCATTGGGCTCGGTGTCTCTCACTACCCATGGCTGTTGGATGAGATAGAGACATTATGCAAAACCTTTTGGCCTTAATTAAATAAAAATATTGGATGGTCATGATTTCGATAAATCGTTATATGACATGCTAAATTTTTAATATTTTTCATTATTTAAAAGATAAAATCAATTATCTCATGATAATTCATCAACATTATTAACATGTGATGGGCTTGAATTATCCAATAAATTTTACTTAATTAGAGCATCATTCATGGCTCCTGACCCTCTTATCATGTGAAAATTGTGAGATAACTTTTGGTTTGGAGGTGAGATCAGATGTTTTATGATTACATGTGAAGTGAATGATTTTTAGATCATTCAAAATTATGTGATTTCGATCACTCCCCTTATTAATTTTTTTAAAAATTAATAAATTTTATATGCATAATGATTGACCGAAATTACGTCTTCTACATGCAAAATATTTTCCAGAGAAGCAGGAAACAAGGGCACGTTAACATTATTTGGGCTACTTGGTCGCTCACTGACAGATCTTATCATCGTCCTCAACAAAAACAGCACCACAGCTTCCCAGCAAATGGTCCAAAACTTCGAGATAAGTGAATTGACATCGACAATGATTCATCAGAGAGCGTAGCACCGTCTGGAACGTGCAATATATATCAGCTTGTTAATTTAAAAAATAGTAATAAACTTTCTAATTACTAAATTAGTTGTAATAAAACATTAACTTAATCTTTAACATTACTGTTATCAATCAATTAGTTGCTGACATTATGTTATCCAAGTCATGAACTAATTTTGCCTTTTCATACTATCAATGATCAAACTGATTAATTCTATCAATTTTACATATTAAAAATGATCAAAGTACTATTTTTTATCTGCTAAAAAAAGTTATTATTAAATTAGAGAGTAATATTCGATCACAGTTTTTTATGTGGTGTCATATTATTTTTCTATTATCAAATTATTATTCATCTGTACTATTACTTTAGCTCTCCATGAAATTAATATCATCATGCTTTATATATTTTAGAGTTTAATTTAATGATAAAAATATAAAAAATAATATGATAATCACACTTTTTTTAATGACTAAATATAAAATTTATTGTAAAAGTAAATATTTTCAACATATGAAATACTAAATATATTTCTTTCCAAAAAAAAATGTTTAAAAGTTTCATTCTAAATATTAAGTAATAAAGAATACCTTAAAATAATTTTGATATATAAAACTAATATATTATAAAGTCACCTCGACTAAGTTAATAACATAGAGCAACTACCAATAGTACTTTAGTTAGGGATGGCACTCCCTCGATTAACAAACATATAGTGTTTGATTAAGGGGAAGTACTCTTCTTAGTCCTCTAGATCATGTTGTAAATTTTGTTTGAATAAAAGAATTATTAATTTCACATAATTGTTTGAAGAATAAAATCTACCAAATGAAAATTAGCTTCTATGACTGATGTAGCATTTATAGGAAAAATTGATTTCTCCACTTGCAAAATAGTGATAAAAGGTACAAAAATACTCATAAAATGTCAAAATACTCATAATCACAGGACAATTTCAATCTTATTTGATGGTTAAAAAAAATAACAAGAACTTTATAACTAAAAATGACACGGTTCCTATATAAATAATTAAGAAAAAAACACATTAAAATGTGCCTCTATAAAGTATTAGATCACATGTTAAGAAGAGGATTGATATTTATATCATCAAACAATTAAATATGCATTAGATATATTTTTATTAAAATAGGAAAAGGTCAAAAGATCTAATCTACAATAGTTTGAACAAGTGATTAGAATAATGTTCAGAATTATCATAGCATATTAACCTATATTAAAACTCTAACTCCAATCAAGTGTTAAATTTAATTGACTGAGAAATTGATCAATCTAACCATTTGATTTAAATATTCTTATTAAATAGATTAATTTTATATAAAAATAAAATTAATAAATACTTTATTGCATTATTTTATTTTAACAAAAAATAAATTTTTAAAATATAAATAGATATCAAATTTTAGATAACATGTCTACAAAAGTTTAAATTATGTAAACTTTGTTATACATGATCATAAATTAATTTAATATAATTAAATAGTTAGATTGCTAATCTTTCGTTCTATAAAAAGTTATAAGTGTTTAAATTTGATATTTCTCAGAAAAAATACTAACTCATATATAAAATCTAATTGTTTAAAAGAAATGGACAAAAAGAAAAAATCAATTAATTGACAATGAGTACCTTATGCACAAACTTAAATTAATTTTAATTAATTTGTTTATTAACCTACTCAAATTTTTTAGAATATTGAATATCTCTCACGGATTAAAGTTTTTTTTATTATTCGCGACTGATTTTGCAAAAGAATGTGTTAAAAGGATATAGTCTTAGATTTACATGGAAGTGTAGAGTGGAGTAAGGTTTGAGATTAGATGTGAAATTCCTATAAGACAAAGATGAAGTGTGTAGACAGGGAAAGAAAAAGATGATCACATAGCATCTTATTCGTTTTTGAATTTTTTTAATGTTAAAAATAGAATAAGTCAATCTAAAGTAATTTATTATTAGATTTAAAAAATTGTCTATTAAAATTTTATATAAATTAAGGGTTAGAATTCTTTTACTTGTAAAGATTTAATTAGTTTAATACTCAACAAAATATCTATATATATTAGAAATAATAATTATAATTCATGAATTAATATGATTTGAAAGTTAAAAGTACTCATTTATAAATGACACCACGCCAGAAATGAGTTTTTGGAGACAGCGGTTAGTAAAAACTACTTTGTAACTATATATTTAGAGAGCGGTTTTTTATTAACCGCTCTCAGATCTATATTTCTAGGAGCGATTCTATATTAACCGCTCTCTAAAGTCACACATTGGAGAGCGATTAATAAATAATCGCCCTCTAAAGTCTTTAAAGTTGTTTATAAATGAAACATGTTTAACGCATTTATTCTTCTTAGCTAAAAAGGTTAGTCTCTTTTACTGTAAGTTTTGTTCGTCTTCTCTACTCTCTTATATTCTCTTCATCTTTTTCTATTAGCATGCTCTCTTCGTCTTCTCTCACTAATAATTTATTTTTTCATATCTGTAGGTACCTCTTCATTTTCTGTTAACTTGCTCTCTTCATCTTCTCTGCTCTAACAATTTATTTTTTTTCATATCTGTAGGTACATCTTCATTCTTTGTTTGCCTGCTCTCTTCATATTTTCTGCGCTAACAAATTAGTTTTTTTTTACATCTATAGGTACTTCTTTGTTCTCTCTTTCTTTCTTCTTCTCTTTGTTAACGGTGAATCATCCATTCTCTCTTTCTTTCTTTTTTCTCTCTATTAACGTTAAAAATCATCCTGTTTGGGATAAGGAAAATTTTCTAAGTTAAAAATCATCTTGAAGGAAACTACATTTCAACAAGTTTTGAGGGTCAAGAAGGAGCCAAAAAATAAGCCTAAACACAAGAGAATATTGAAAGATCATTCAAGACCTTTAGTTTTATTAAAAGGGACACATTTCGAGCTATTTTAGAAGATTTTTGTCATATTATTGATTTTTCTCTAAACTGCTTGAAAGACAAGAAAATATTCAAAGTTCACAAAACTAAATGCTTTTTCGAGTAGTTTTGAGGAGTTTCCAAGTCACTGACACCCAAAACTGCTCGAAAAGCAGGACTAACAAGAAAAATTCTAAGTCCACAAAACTAAGGGCTTTTTCGAAGAGTTTTGAGGAGTCACTAACACCCAAAACTGCTCAAAAAACAGGATTGACAAGAAAATATTCTAAGTCCACAAAAACTGATGGTTTTTCGAGGCGTTTTGAGGAGTTTCCAAGTTGCTGACACCCAAAACTGCTCGAAAAATAAGAAGTAGTCAGAAAATATTCTAAGTCCACAAACCTGGTTGAGCTCCAGATTTCCTCCAGAATTGCTCAAAAAATAGAAATGAGCAAAGAAAATATTCTAAGTCCATGAGATCAAAACAAGCTCTTAAAACCCCAGAATTAGTCGAAAAGAGAAGGCACGGAGAAATTATTCTAAGGCCATAAACTAAATGAGCTTCCTAAAACCCTCCCAGAATAACTTGAAAGACAGAAAAATTGACTTGAAAGGTTAAGTGCAAAAGCAGTTATTAGCAGTTACCAACACTAGGCAAATGTTCAACTATGCAAAGAAAAGATCGTGGGAGATAACGGTTATTAGCAGTTACCGACAACACGATCACAAGCAATCGTGGATAATGGACATAACAATTGAAGGCAGTTACTGAGGAGTGCCCGCAAAAGGAGGAGGACGGTGGTGATCTTCCTGCCTATAAATACCCCAAAGCGCCATTCTACAAGGGACGACTTTTTGCACCCAAACACTGCACCTAAACTCTCTAAGACGCTGAAACCCTGTACCGCGCCAGACACCAGCTACAAGGAGACATTACGGTCGTTGCTATTTATCGCTAGGAGTCGTACGTTTACATTCACGCACCTTTA